ACCTCCTCTTTCTCCGAGACAAAGGCCAAGTACAAACCCTCATCCCCGTTCTGCATAGAATAGTTATACAACGAGTGAGCACACATGCAGCCGTAAGAGTGTCTACAAGTCAATGCGTACTATACTTTTTGAGACTGACTGTCCTTCCCTCCTGCAACACATACGGCACTAATTTCCTGTCCTAGTCAAACTGGAGCTTGGCAACCTTGAGGTAGCGGGGGTTAACCCTACCGTGGTGCAAACTGTGCAACAACGCACATGCAGCTAGGAAGCAGCGAGAGACGATAGAGCACATTTTTCTTCAATACCCGAGGACCATTTGGATTTGGAGCTGGTGGGACCGAATCTGGGGGCAGCTTGAAATATTGAACCTCTGGCCATGGGGCAGGAAAGACCCCATTATGTGAGACTCTTCCAACCAGCTAGATACATTTACCCTGAAACTGTCCAAGATAGGACGAAGAGTTGTGTTACGGGCTCTCTGGAGGCGAAGTCGCGCACCTCCAAAATGGAAGGAGCACGCCTCGAGGGACCCAAATTCACATACAACTTCCAACAACAGGTACAAATTGACATAGCGACGCAATGGGGAGGGGTGAAAGCACTGTGGGATCAACTCCACTCCCCACCTGAAATGTGTCAAATTAATTATTCAACATTTTCTGTGAAAGCTGGCTCGGGGGGCTCAAGGGGAAAAGATAGGGGTAGGAGAAGCGGAATGGAAAGGGGGTACAAAGGGCGAACCAGCAGATAACCAGGGACTACCGCCTCGGCTTTCATGAACGGACTAAGCTAGATGAAACCATCCCTATGGCACCTCTCACAGATTTCCCCAACCTGTTCCCTCTGTCATCGCAATGGATAGGGGATCGAAGATGGTTTGGCATGGATTAAGGCCTCACTAGTGATCGAGGAAAGTTCAGGTCTTGGAAGAGATCAGGACACGCAGAATCAGGCGCCTGGAAAAGTGTTAAGAGTTCGTTCTATGTGGTAGTATGTGAGGTAGGTAGTTATGTGAGCTAAAAATATGCAGGAGCTCTGTATTTGTACATCCCTCTACATTCACTTGATTGCTACTTCGGCACAAAATATGAGGAAAACAAAAGGGGAGACGGAGGGAGGGAGGGGGCGCGCAGGATGGACGCGCATCAAACAAATGATCCACCAACTGGCCTAGCTGGGAGTCTAAGGACATTCGATCTATCACGATATGATTGTTTTTTCTGGAAGTCAGGTGAAAGTCGCGCCATGCATGTCAGTAGACTCAGTACATCATTTTATTGTTTTTCAAGGTTACCAGGGCAGATGTCTGGGCCCGGGATGTCCGACTGGACACCCACTCGGCTATCTGCCCGGATACGACTATGTCCGGGCTGGCTGGTGCCACGGACGGTGTGCCGCACCTGCTGCCGCAGCTCTTGCTGCAGGTGCTGATTTAGCTGCTCTTGCATGTCTTGCTGCACTTGCTTCAGCAGTCTGCACACGACTGCATATTTTCGTTGTTGTTGTTGTTTTTTGTCTCCAAATGCCCCCAGCTTTCTCCTGGGGGTCCCAATACTTAGCGTGGCAGGTGCCACGTGTCAGACGACACGTCGCACCTCTGAAATGGTGGGAAACCGAATGTCGGGGATCGCGGACATGATGGGACATCTGACCCAAATATTTGACACGTGTCTGGGATCCCGGCCAAGTGTTGGGGAGATTAGGGAGCCAAAAAAAAAAAAAAAAACCAACAACAGAGATTAGGGAGCAAAGAAGCAAAAGGAAGGGAGGGACATGAAACATGAAGAAAAGCAGGGACATAAAAAACATGAAGAAAGGCGAAACTATTCCGCAGGCTGCAAAGTGCTTGAAGAAATGACTTGAATAGTGTTCACACACATGAAGTGGCAAGGGCTCACTAAGGTGGAGTTCACACATTAAAAACCCTTGACAACACAGACGATATCTTGCCCACTGTATCATCCGGATTTCCCTGGCACAAGTCCCGATAACCACAAAAACAAGAACAGCAAGTAAATCCCGCACGGCTGCAGCTGTAGGTGTGAAAAATACCCGGGGTCTACATCACTCTGCATCTACAGATTTCATGTCTCTCTCTCTCTCTCTCTCTCTCTCTCTCTCTCTCTCTCTCTCTCTCTCTCTCTCTCTCTCTCCTTGCCCCCCTTCAAACCCTTCCCCCCCAACCCCACCACCTCCGGGTTTGTTAAGAGTTTATCAACTATCAATAACTGACCATTTTCACATCTCTCTCTCTCTCTCTCTCTCTCTCTCTCTCTCTCTCTCTCTCTCTCTCCCTCCCTTCCTTGGAGTCCCTC